TGCACTAGTTTGTTTGGACGAAGGGGTGTTTCTCTTTAACGCTCCCATGAATAGCCTTGAGCACTTGCAGATTTTAATTTCAGGAGTGGTTCAGTGAAATGAACTGTCTTTCAGATAAGCATTCAGCGTTTGTAAACACACTCTCTTTTTTTGTCTTTCTTGTAACAGCCATTTACTCACTGATGCTCTGAGAAATGTCTTCTGCTCATGGTTATCTTCTCAAGTTCTGTCTCATCTGGTTTTACTTCACAGTAAAACTGATCCCAAAGGCAATGGAGAATAAAGTATAACACATCTCCCTGAGACAAATCAGGTGCAAAGCTGATTCCTGGGGTTAAATCATTAAATCCTACCGTCGGAAACAACAACGATAAATTTTAAAAAATCCCAGAAGGGCCAATGCTGACTTTTACAGCAAAATAACCCATCCAAAAAGCCAAATATATTGTGTATTTTTTTCCCTGTGTAATCTGCAGGAAAAGGGGGCATTGCTGTCCTAAATGCAATCAGGAATCCCCCATTTCCATCATCTTGCATCTGAAAATGCCTGCTATCAGGTGCTTCAGGGGTAATGTCAAGAAAGGGTTTAGGGAATAATTATTGGAGAGAGTTATCCTAAATTTCTTCTTAACCTTACCTGCAAGTTTTTCTTAGTCTTGTAGCTCTGGCTATTACTCAAGAGGTTTTATCTGGTCCATTGTAACTATCTCATGAATATAAGTGTTTACTATTTTTGTTATGACTTTGTAATATGCATAAGATAGCAAAGAAAATTCATAGCTGAAGAACATATTCTGTGGATAAATGCAATTTTTTTTGAAGTATCAACTTTCATTGAATGAATGTCCCCCCTATTTTTGCATTGTCAAAATGGGAAAGCAGAGATCTGTGACTTTTTCCCTTTAAGGAGCAGAGGAGAGTTGTCTCCTCATGTCATGCCCAAAACCCCTGGGATGTGGATGGTTACATTCACACCAGCCTTTGGTTGCTGCTGTGGAATTCAGAAATGCTGAGTGTAACCCTTGTTTCTGATGAAGGCTTTTTAAGTTACCTGCGATAAGCCGGTGTCTGTTCACACCTTGGTTTCTTGAAAAAGGAAGATGGCAATTTTACCTTCATTGCAAAAGTATTGTGGAGATGCATTTATTGACGTTCAGTCGATGCTGCAATTTATGTAGGGTTTAACAGGAAAGCTGTCAGCTACCTCAGATTTTGCTAATGGATAATACTTACGACATTTTTTAAATTAATTATTAGTGGTATGACTATTCTTTTTTTCTGCATGTGTTCTTTCTTAGTGCAATGACAGATTCTCTGCAAACATTTTCTTCTGCTTTTTCTGTCACCATTATGAATTTTCTTTTGTTGCTTTTGGTAAACTTGAGTCATCCTCATACTTTGTATGGTTTCTCTGGAGGAAGGGATGACTAACATAACAAACTGCATTACAAAAAGGAGTATCTAATGTTTAAAATTTGTCTAAGGTGTAACTCTGAACCAGAGAATATTATAATTTTGCCATAATCTCCATAGAAGAGGTGGTTCCTGTAGAGTGTGAGCAGTATTAACAAAACGCAGGAGTAGGTACAAAGAGACATTTCATAGGATTACATCTGCTTCTTACCTAAAGAAATCTGGATTCCAGATTTGTTTTTAAGCTCTGTTTCAGTAAGAACAGTATTGTTTCAATGCGGTGTAATGTTCGGTGGCATGGTCATTTACTTTTAGATGTGGCTCACACATTTCTGTGAGGACCAGGCAATCATGCGTAGTAATTCTTCACATTCCTGACATCTTTTTCATAATCCACTTTTAGGACGATGATAATTGTGATGAGTAGGGAGGAAATAAATCTTTTTTTTTTTAAATGCCTGGAATTCATGTTTAGATTCTTGTTGTAGAATCTATAGTGTCAGTGTTTTTTGCAGTTATCATCCAGATTATATAAATTAAACCAATTTCAAAAATTCTTCAGTAAATCTCTCTGTAGATAAATGAATCCTGTGCTCATCACAAGTAACTTCTAATAACTTCCTTGAGTTTTCTAGACAGTTTGTAAAATGTAAAATAAAAGCCAGTACTCAATTTCTTATAACTCTGATTAGTATATATTTTTGGAGTGAGTTCTTAACAATTTTTATAAATGTTTAAATTTTTATTTTTTGAGGGTTGGTTTTGGTTTGGGTTTGTTTGGGTTGTTTTTGGTAAACTAAAGTAACTATATGTTAATTGCTAGCTATCTTTGATGAAGAAAAGAGCCTGTAGTTGCAATTGTTGCATCTGACCTTTCAGTTTTCTCTTGGGCATTACTGGACTTGTGTGACCTTGGAAATTCAGTTAGTGTGTGATATGTGAAGTTGCAAAACATGAAAGTTAAATAGGTTCTCTCTGAAATAATTATTAATTTTTTTTTTTTTAATGCTTGTCCTCTCGCAGATTGCCTGACGTCATCTTCTTTTAGTAGGTTGGTTTGGGAAGATAGTTTTAAGATATAAATTTATGGTATGCATATGGAAAGTCTCAGTATAGATAGTACAAATCTTTTTCCTTTACTGTTACATTCCGTCTGTGAGAAGAGTTGGGAAAACCTCTGTGTATTCAAGAAGCTTTCCTCATTTTTCGATAACATAAAAATTGGAGCTGTTCAATTATTTCAACATCCTCTCTTCTCAGAAATGGAATATTAATGTAGGGTGGTTTCTGCTATCAGGTTTGAGTTAATTTTTGAAGGTATTCCATGAACATAGCACATAAAAGCTCATCAAGGTCCAGAGAAGCCAGGAGGGGAATGGGTTATTTGGTGGTTATTGTCCTTTTTACATTTTTGCAAGAATTACTCATCTCTTAGCTTTGAACAAAGTGATGGTTTCTCTATCTTCTGTGAATGAAATTTGGGACACACTGATTGTAGAATAATCTTGGGTCCTGTTTCTATAAGGAAGAAGAGTTTCCTCTAAAAAGATCTTGTTACTTTCCAACTGGAGGTTGTATACCTTTTCCTGCAATTTGTCCTTTCCTCTTGTGGTCGCATGCTACTTTAGAGCTTTTTAACCACTAATACGTTAGAGTTTTGTTTGAGGAACATCTTGGCATGTTTGCATGACATCATAGTAACAGCTAACTTATGCTCCTCCCATTTAGAATTGAGTTTTTGCCAAGTAATGGAAGTTTTGGAGAGAAAATTGATCACTTTGCAAAATGATGCCTTTATGTGGAATAAACCTTGCAGATGAATGAAAAAATTAACATAATTCTTCAGAAAGAAGAAGAATTACCTTTTTTTCTTCAAAAAGCAGTAGGTGGTTGTCCTGGTTTCGGCTGGAATAGGATTAATTTTCTTCCTAATGCTGTGTTTTGGATTTAGTATGAGGAGAATGGTGATAACACACTGATGTTTTCAGTTGTCGCTAAGTGCCCTCCTAGTCCAAGGACAGCTCCCATGCCTACTGACTGAGCTAGGTACACAAGATGGGAGGGAACATAATCAGGACAGCCAGCCCAGCTGGCCAATGGGGTATTCCATACCATGTGACGTCATGCTCAGTATATGAATGGTAGGCGTGATCCAGGAAGTACCGATCGCTACCTGGTTATCGGTCAGCGCGGGTGGTGAGCAATTGCATTGTGCATCACTCATTTTGTATATTCTATCATTATCATTATTATTTTCCCTTTTCTGTTCTATTAAACTGTCTTTATCCCAACCCACGAGTTTTTCTCACTCTCACCCTTCCGATTCTCTCCCCGCCCCACTGCGGGGTTGGGGGGGCAGTGAGGCGTGGTGTTTGGCTGCCTGCCAGGTTAAACCACGACAGTGGTAGACTTTAATTTCTGTGCAATACAGGGGACAGATTACCCCAGTGCAAGTGCTGTGTTACCAGTAACTACAGGTGACTGTGCTGAGCCCACCAGCAGTCTCACAGCTAAACCTTATTGATTTTTGTAGGGACCAGTGCAGCCTCTGCAGGGCTCTGGGAGGATTATAAGATGTAAGAGGAGTAAGTGCAGGGGAGCAGCCGCTGTCTCTGGCTCCAGAGGCAGAGTCTGAAGCTATTGATTGTACACTTTGGTTTATCAGACATCACCCCAGTGCAGTTATTCCAGCTTTCCGGGATATCCACTTCTTGATCCTCCACCGTATGGATGATGCCTCACTTTGTCATTCGTGTATTTTTAGTAAACCCTTATTTTTTTATGCTGTGATCGTTAATAAGATACTTTGCTAGGTTTGCTGGTTTGAAGTTGGCATGCTAACTCATGTTTTTTGCCTGCCTGCATCTGTGTGTTTGAGACACTTCAGAGCAGGACTTGCTACTTTCCCATCTTTGTATAACATTCAGGACAATGTGAACAGAGGCCTCTGGATGATGTTTAATAGTCATGACCCTGGATGGATCCTACTGAGGGTGTTTTTACCAAGGAAGGACCTGGGAGCAGGCCTTCTCTCGCAGGACAAGCCATTAACTGCTGTCAGTCTGAGCGGAGAGTGAATTAAAATCCAGCCTCATCCTTTAAACCTCGCTCTGTCCTTCCCTATTACAAGACCATCCAAATTGTTGGCTGCAGGAGCGAGATCCGTGCGAGATCCTCCTGGCACCAGCCCACACGGGCCCCTCCTGCGACCCCTCCCAGTCTGGCTGGCGCGGGCGGGGGCTGCACCGGCCATGGCCGTGATAAAAATGGCAGGGCAAAGAGCCTTGCTGCCAGATCCAGCCCTCGGGCTGGGGCTTGGACATGCCAATCCATTACATGGTAATTGAAACATAGCTTTAGGTAAGTCATAATTTTTAAAGCTAAGGTCGCCCTTGAGGCATTTCTGAAATCATTTCTCCTAGCAGTAGTTAGATGAGTAAGGCAGTCAAATATTTTGAAGTCACTGAGGTTAAAAAGTGCTGGTGAACATAAAGGTGTATATCATATTGGTCCACTGATATTTTTTGTTTGCTGATATTTTTTCTTTTCTTTTCTTTTCTTTTCTTTCTTTTTTTTTTTTTCTTTAGGATGAACGTGAAGCCAGAGAAAATGTGAAAAGAGAGCAGGATGAAGCGTACCGCATATCACTGGAGGCTGACAGAGCAAAGGTGTGTGCAGGGTGAAGGGATCGCATGAATGTCGGGATGATGTCTCCATAGTTGGTGAAACGTCTCTGGTGCAGAGGACTGCCTGCCTTCAGTTCTGCTCTTAAGATAAGACGGTTGCTGTAGGAGCCATTATTGCCCTCAGTCGCTATAAAATGGCACGAGATACAGTCACTAGGAGTAGACTTGACTACGTCTTTTTGCTAACGCAGTCCTGGCCCCACTTAATAATAGAAGTTGGGAAAGGAATGACAGGAAAAGATCACGTAATAAATATCCTATTTCTTATATTAATTTCTACAGAAAAGTTGAGACGTTTGCTTTTATATAGCTAATGCACATGATTAAACACAGCTGTGGAAAGCGAGGTGATACATGTGTGATTGCTGTTTGTGTTTATTAGAGGGAAGCGCAAGAGAGAGAAATGGCAGAGCAGTTTCGCTTGGAACAGATTCGGAAAGAACAGGAGGAAGAACGTGAGGTGGGATGTTTTACCTTTTCTGACAACTTTTTGGATTCATGAAGCTTATGGACATTGTAACCTTAATTCAAAGTATACTTTTTATGTGAACATATTTTTTTTTTAAATTAATTTCTTACTATATATCTAAAAAACATAGTGCAGCTAAATCATTTTCATCCACTGTTTAATAGCTTTTCTATCATTTGGGTCACAATTACATCATCAGGGTCTGAATTACAGCCAGATATTAGATAGGCCTGCTAACAGGAGATCCGTGAAATGAGCTCCATAAATGGTGGAATCTTTGAGAACCTCTAACCTTGTTTCTGCAGACACTCCTTTTGAAAATAAAATACCATGGAGCCCTTTCATTTCTTCAGGAAGTAGCACAAAGCCTAGCTGCAATTCTGATCAAACAAGTTGCCAAATTCAATTTGGGAGACAAAAGACTTTATAAAAAAAATTTAAGGAAAAAAGAATTCCAAAATCTAGAAAATTGGGTTTATGGTACATTTTTAAATTTCTAAACAGTCTCCTACAGAATCTTCCTTAGAATGAAAATTGTGTTTAAATGAACACTTTACGTTTCTAGGCCTATATAAGAAAATAGAAACCATGTGCTGTGAAGAGTACTGTTCCTCAAACTCTGTTATTTTGTAGATTCTCTTAATTTTGTAGATCCTGAGGGTCCCAGTGCCTGTCAGAGAAGGCTCCTGCAGCCTCTTTCAGGATCTGGGCTAGCTTCTGTCCTAGCTGTGTGTCTATGTAGTTATTTACATAAAGCATCATGTACACAAATTTACTTATATTAGTGACTTCCTCTTTTTCACCTCCTGGCAAATACAAAATATGGTAAAAAGGCTGAGGTACAGCCATGTTTCTTCCCCTGAAGTCCCACCACATTTCAAAGGATAGGTGAAATAGACTAGTCATTAAAATATTTCCATCTGTTCTGTGAAGTTCTTGAATATAAGTCCTTACAGAACTGCTGTGAAATACAGCTGATACTTGAAAAGGACTTTGAAACCCTTGAATAAAATTTTCAAAATGAAAGCGATATTCACGTATAAATGACTGAAATCACAGTTGATTGGGGGTTGTCCTTTGACTTCTAGGCATACAAGATTCTGTGAGCCAGTTGCTAATGAATACAAAGCTATATCAGCATCCCTATTGAATATATATTTCCTGAGTATGTTTCCAGTATTATATCAAATATAAATAAAATATAAATATTAAAAATATTTATTCATTTAT